TCATACTACCCCTACCTGACCCCTATCATAATACCACTACCTGACCCCTATCATACTACCCCTACCTGACCCCTATCATAATACCACTACCTGACCCCTATTCATAATACCACTACTTGACCCCTATCATACTACCCCTACCTGACCCCTATCATACTACCCCTACCTGACCCCTATCATAATACCACTACCTGACCCCTATCATAATACCACTACTTGACCCCTATCATACTACCCCTACCTGACCCCTATCATAATACCACTACCTGACCCCTATCACACTACCCCTACCTGACCCCTATCACACTACCCCTACCTGACCCCTATCATACTACCCCTACCTGACCCCTATCACACTACCCCTACCTGACCCCTATCATACTAGCCCTACCTGACCCCTATCATAATACCACTACCTGACCCCTATCATACTACCCCTACCTGACCCCTATCATAATACCACTACCTGACCCCTATCATAATACCACTACTTGACCCCTATCATACTACCCCTACCTGACCCCTATCATAATACCACTACCAGACCCTTATCATACTACCCCTACCTGACCCCTATCATAATACCACTACCTGACCCCTATCATACTACCCCTACCTGACCCCTATCATACTACCCCTACCTGACCCTTATCATACTACCCCTACCTGACCCCTATCATAATACCACTACCAGACACTTATCATACTACCCCTACCTGACCCCTATCATAATACCACTACCTGACCCCTATCATAATACCCCTACCTGACCCCTATCATACTACCCCTACCTGACCCCTATCATACTACCCCTACCTGACCCCTATCATAATACCACTACCTGACCCATATCATAATACCACTACCTGACCCCTATCATACTACCCCTACCTGACCCCTATCATACTACCCCTACCTGACCCCTATCATAATACCACTACCTGACCCATATCATAATACCACTACCTGACCCCTATCATACTAGCCCTACCTGACCCCTATCATACTACCCCTACCTGACCCCTATCATAATACCACTACCTGACCCATATCATAATACCACTACCTGACCCCTATCATACTAGCCTTAACTGACCCCTATCATACTACCCCTACGTGACCCCTATCATACTACCCCTACCTGACCCCTATCATACTACCCCTACCTGAACCCTATCATACTACCCTTACTTGACCCATATCATACTACCCCCTACCTAACCTCTATCATCATACTACCTCTTCTTAACCCCTATCATACTAGAGCTATATAACCCCATCTCCCTATGACCCATCTATAACACCCCCCCCCCCCATCTAGACAAAGACCCACCTTCCTGAAGTTATTCACCCTGTCCAAACTGTGAACGTCTTTAATCAGAAGCACGGCTGTGTCTTGAGGTCTACACCTAGGGAGGCCACAGATGGGCCTACAGTACGCTCGGCTGTTGGGTTACATAGCATTTGTGTCATAGGTTCGTACATTTGGGTTATGTTGTGAATGGAATTTAATGTATGGAATGAGTTTGAGAGTATGTGTGTGGTTGAACGGGGTTAATAAAGTTGTCCATGGTTTGAGAGTAGGTGTGTGGTTGAATGGGGTTAATAAAGTTGTCGATGGTTTGAGAGTATGTGTGTGGTTGAATGGCGTTAATAAAGTTGTCGATGGTTTGAGAGTAGGTGTGTGGTTGAATGGGGTTAATAAAGTTGTCGATGGTTTGAGAGTACGTGTGTAGCGGTATTAATAAAAGATTATGAATGCATGAATAAATAAGGATGTGACCAGAGGCGTAGCGATGGGGGGGGGGAAGGGGGGAGACATATGTCCCCGGGCTCCGACCTTAGGGGGCGCCAAAATGGGTTGTAAAAACAAACTAAAAAGTAAATTTAGCTGCATTTTTTCAGTTTGAGGGGGGGGGGTGCACATCGAAAGTTCGAGGGGGGTGTAAATCGAAAAGTTGAGGGGGGGGGGTGCAAATCGATAAGTTGCTCCCGAGGGGGGCGCCAAATTGAAAGTTTGTCCCCGGGCGCCGGGAAGGGTCGCTACGCCTCTGGATGTGACGTAAGAGAGAATGTTTTGGTTGTCATGAAGATAGTTGGAAGTCAGTCTTCGTTTTGTCGTCGTCATGTGAGGTTGTGTTAGGAAGTCTTCGTTCTGTGTCTGCTGTTGATGTAGCTGTATGGATTAATGGAATAAAATTATAGAAATGGATCAAGCCACCTTGTCTCATCTATATTTGATCTATACCTCGTTCGTCACGCTCAGCGTAGACCCTGTACCGGAACCACACTTTACAACAGGTTACATAGCATTTGTGTCATAGGTTCGTACAGTTGGGTTACATAGCATTTGTGTCATAGGTTCGTACAGTTGGGTTACATAGCATTTGTGTCATAGGTTCGTACAGTTGGGTTACATAGCATAATACCACTACCTGACCCCTATCATACTACCCCTACCTGACCCATATCATACTAGCCCTACCTGTCCCCTATCATACTACCCTTACTTGACCCATATCATACTACCCCTACCTGACCCATATCATACTAGCCCTACCTGTCCCCTATCATACTACCCTTACTTGACCCATATCATACTACCCTTACCTGACCCCTATCATACTACCCCTACCTGACCCCTATCATACTAGCCCTAACTGACCCCTACCATACTACCTCTACCTGACCCCTATCATACTACCCCTACCTGACCCCTATCATACTACCCTTACTTGACCCATATCATACTACCCCCTACCTAACCTCTATCATCATACTACCTCTTCTTAACCCCTATCATACTAGAGCTCTATAACCCCATCTCCCTATGACCCATCTATAACACCCCCCCCCCTCCATCTAGACAAAGACCCACCTTCCTGAAGTTATTCACCCTGTCCAAACTGTGAACGTCTTTAATCAGAAGCACGGCTGTGTCTTGAGGTCTACACCTAGGGAGGCCACAGATGGGCCTACAGTACGCTCGGCTGTTGGGTTACATAGCATTTGTGTCATAGGTTCGTACATTTGGGTTATGTTGTGAATGGAATTTAATGTATGGAATGAGTTTGAGAGTATGTGTGTGGTTGAACGGGGTTAATAAAGTTGTCCATGGTTTGAGAGTATGTGTGTGGTTGAATGGGGTTAATAAAGTTGTCGATGGTTTGAGAGTAGGTGTGTGGTTGAATGGGGTTAATAAAGTTGTCGATGGTTTGAGAGTATGTGTGTGGTTGAATGGCGTTAATAAAGTTGTCGATGGTTTGAGAGTAGGTGTGTGGTTGAATGGGGTTAATAAAGTTGTCGATGGTTTGAGAGTACGTGTGTAGCGGTATTAATAAAAGATTATGAATGCATGAATAAATAAGGATGTGACCAGAGGCGTAGCGATGGGGGGGGGGGGGGGAAAGGGGGGAGACATATGTCCCCGGGCGCCGACCTTAGGGGGCGCCAAAATGGGTTGTAAAAACAAACTAAAAAGTAAATTTAGCTGCATTTTTTCAGTTTGAGGAGGGGGGGGTGCACATCGAAAGTTCGAGGGGGGTGTAAATCGAAAAGTTGAGGGGGGGGGGTGCAAATCGAAAAGTTGCTCCCGAGGGGGGCGCCAAATTGAAAGTTTGTCCCCGGGCGCCGGGAAGGGTCGCTACGCCTCTGGATGTGACGTAAGAGAGAATGTTTTGGTTGTCATGAAGATAGTTGGAAGTCAGTCTTGGTTTTGTCGTCGTCATGTGAGGTTGTGTTAGGAAGTCTTCGTTCTGTGTCTGCTGTTGATGTAGCTGTATGGATTAATGGAATAAAATTATAGAAATGGATCAAGCCACCTTGTCTCATCTATATTTGATCTATACCTCGTTCGTCACGTTCAGCGTAGACCCTGTACCGGAACCACACTTTACAACAGGTTACATAGCATTTGTGTCATAGGTTCGTACAGTTGGGTTACATAGCATTTGTGTCATAGGTTCGTACAGTTGGGTTACATAGCATTTGTGTCATAGGTTTGTACAGTTGGGTTACATAGCATAATACCACTACCTGACCCCTATCATAATACCCCTACCTGACCCCTATCATACTACCCCTACCTGACTTCTATCATACTACCCCTACCTGACCCCTATCATAATACCACTACCTGACCCATATCATAATACCACTACCTGACCCCTATCATACTACCCCTACCTGTCCCCTATCATACTACCCTTACTTGACCCCTATCATACTACCCCTACCTGACCCCTATCATAATACCACTACCTGACCCATATCATAATACCACTACCTGACCCCTATCATACTACCCCTACCTGACCCCTATCATACTACCCCTACCTGACCCCTATCATAATACCACTACCTGACCCATATCATAATACCACTACCTGACCCCTATCATACTAGCCCTACCTGTCCCCTATCATACTACCCTTACTTGACCCATATCATACTACCCCTACCTGACCCCTATCATACTAGCCTTAACTGACCCCTACCATACTACCACTACCTGACTCCTATCATACTACCCCTACCTGACCCCTATCATACTAGCCCTAACTGACCCCTACCATACTACCACTACCTGACCCATATCATACTAGCCCTACCTGTCCCCTATCATACTACCCTTACTTGACCCATATCATACTACCCCTACCTGACCCATATCATACTAGCCCTACCTGTCCCCTATCATACTACCCTTACTTGACCCATATCATACTACCCTTACCTGACCCCTATCATACTACCCCTACCTGACCCCTATCATACTAGCCCTAACTGACCCCTACCATACTACCTCTACCTGACCCCTATCATACTACCCCTACCTGACCCCTATCATACTACCCTTACTTGACCCATATCATACTACCCCCTACCTAACCTCTATCATCATACTACCTCTTCTTAACCCCTATCATACTAGAGCTCTATAACCCCATCTCCCTATGATCCATCTATAACACCCCCCCTCCATCTAGACAAAGACCCACCTTCCTGAAGTTATTCACCCTGCCCAAACTGTGAACGTCTTTAATCAGAAGCACGGCTGTGTCTTGAGGTCTACACCTAGGGAGGCCACAGATGGGCCTACAGTACGCTCGGCTGTTGGGTTACATAGCATTTGTGTCATAGGTTCGTACATTTGGGTTATGTTGTGAATGGAATTTAATGTATGGAATGAGTTTGAGAGTATGTGTGTGGTTGAACGGGGTTAATAAAGTTGTCCATGGTTTGAGAGTATGTGTGTGGTTGAATGGGGTTAATAAAGTTGTCGATGGTTTGAGAGTAGGTGTGTGGTTGAATGGGGTTAATAAAGTTGTCGATGGTTTGAGAGTATGTGTGTGGTTGAATGGCGTTAATAAAGTTGTCGATGGTTTGAGAGTAGGTGTGTGGTTGAATGGGGTTAATAAAGTTGTCGATGGTTTGAGAGTACGTGTGTAGCGGTATTAATAAAAGATTATGAATGCATGAATAAATAAGGATGTGACCAGAGGCGTAGCGATGGGGGGGGGGGGGGGGAAAGGGGGGAGACATATGTCCCCGGGCGCCGACCTTAGGGGGCGCCAAAATGGGTTGTAAAAACAAACTAAAAAGTAAATTTAGCTGCATTTTTTCAGTTTGAGGGGGGGGGGGGGTGCACATCGAAAGTTCGAGGGGGGTGTAAATCGAAAAGTTGAGGGGGGGGGGGGTGCAAATCGAAAAGTTGCTCCCGAGGGGGGCGCCAAATTGAAAGTTTGTCCCCGGGCGCCGGGAAGGGTCGCTACGCCTCTGGATGTGACGTAAGAGAGAATGTTTTGGTTGTCATGAAGATAGTTGGAAGTCAGTCTTGGTTTTGTCGTCGTCATGTGAGGTTGTGTTAGGAAGTCTTCGTTCTGTGTCTGCTGTTGATGTAGCTGTATGGATTAATGGAATAAAATTATAGAAATGGATCAAGCCACCTTGTCTCATCTATATTTGATCTATACCTCGTTCGTCACGTTCAGCGTAGACCCTGTACCGGAACCACACTTTACAACAAGTTACATAGCATTTGTGTCATAGGTTCGTACAGTTGGGTTACATAGCATTTGTGTCATAGGTTCGTACAGTTGGGTTACATAGCATTTGTGTCATAGGTTCGTACAGTTGGGTTACATAGCATTTGTGTCATAGGTTCGTACAGTTGGGTTACATAGCATTTGAGTCATAGGTTCGTACAGTTGGGTTACATAGCATTTGTGTCATAGGTTCGTACAGTTGGGTTACATAGCATTTGTGTCATAGGTTCGTACAGTTGGGTTACATAGCATTTGAGTCATAGGTTCGTACATTTGGGTTATATAGCATTTGTGTCATAGGTTCGTTCAGTTGGGTTACATAGCATTTGTGTCATAGGTTCGTACAGTTGGGTTACATGACATTTGTGTCATAGGTTCGTTCAATTGGGTTACATAGCATTTGTGTCATAGGTTCGTAGAGTTGGGTTAAATAGATTTTGTATCATAGGCTTGTATATTTAGGTAGTTGGTGTGTTGTATTATAGACTCGTATATTGAGATGGTGGGTTGTATTATAGACTCGTATATTGAGATAGTGGGTTGTATTATAGACCCCCACCTCAAAATTGCTGTTGAATTTTTCTTTAAAAAATCGAAATATTTCCAAAATCTTGTCCGAACTCTGTCAACATAGAGTATTTTGATCAATTCCTATTACACTTTATTAAAACCGTTTTCTAAAACGCGAAATAACGGCTAAACCAGTTTTCTAACATTGCTTTTTTTTAATAATACAAAAAAAGTCACGTCACACCATCTGAACCCCCCCCCCCCCCTCCCCTTCATCACACACCGTCACAAAATTACGGACCCCCCTGCCCTTTACGAGTGTGACGTCATTTGTGGACGACCCCTAACACCTTGACACTAAATACGCAAATTATGTTGTACAAAATTACTTCAACACAATCAATTACGAAGGAAAAAGGACTATTGAAGTATGCTTCTGTGAATATTACTTATCGCCAAGGAATTGATCACCAAGCTCTCGAAACACTTAAGAAAAAGATGGCCAGTTTACGAAAGAAAAAAAAATAAGACAAGGCTTACTAGGAAGAACTGGTGGTCCTAAATCTATGGGTGTTCTTGGTGCCACAAGGTACCCCCTTCCCACAGTGACACTGTTGCACAAGGATAGGCGGCTTCACACATCCAGGCTTAGCGTTCATCAGCTGACCACACTCAAAGTTTTCTGGACACGGGAAATTTGGGTTTACCTGGGGTTAAACAAAAATGGGAAGTCCGCGTGGATAATGTTGACATTTACCGTATGTTATATATATATATATATATATATATATATATATATATATATATATATATATATATATATATATATATGTAAATATATATATGTATACATATACTATATATATACATATATATATATACATATATATATATATATATATATATATATATATATATATATATATATATATATATATATATAATATATGTATTCTATACATATATATGTATATAAGTATATATGTATCTCTCTCTCTCTCTCTCTCTCTCTCTCTCTCTCTCTATATATATATATATATATATATATATATATATATATATATATATATATATATGTATATATATATATATATATATCTTTATAAATATACATACTTATAAATATACTTATAGGTATAAATATACATCTGCATAAAAATAAACATACAAATATGCATATATAAAAACACACATATACACACATATGCAACGCATATATATATATATATATATATATATATATATATATATATATATATATATATATATATATATATATGCCTCCTGTGTATAGCAAGCTGATGTGGATTCGTACCCTCTAGATTGAGAAAAATGAGATACTTACAATCACTGTTTCATTGGGCTGATCGCAATTAATAGAATTAGCATAAGTAATGAGAATGTTGATAATGAGTGGCACCAGAAGGACATTTGTTGACAGGCACATCCTCGTCTTAGGATGGGCTGAAATAAAACTTTCGGCTAAAGTGAGCGTTGGTTGAATGAAGTGAGGTCCACAATATTATGGTCCATGTTTCGTTTTTGTTTAATTTTTTTTAACGTTTCTGTGAGTTGAGCTTGTAAAGTAGAGCTAATGAGGCGGAGATAATGAGCTACTGGTTTAGGTCGACATTGGCATAGTTTGACGTATACCTAACTCAGCCACAGTTACTTTACTGGCCGTGATTCAAGTAGCCATTAAAGCTAAGTGGACGCCAGGACGGTATACGAACTCGTGCCTTTCGTGTTAGTAGTCATGCGCTCTACCGTCCGACTATGAAAGTTCATATATTAAGCCATTCCAATTTGCATCTTACTTTAAAAAAATTTGTAGGCTACCGAACGACCAGTAATTTAACATGCACTTCTATACGGAAACAAAATTTAAAGTACAGAATATCAAAAATTCAACAAACACATCTAGAGCTATATAATTTTTTTTGTTTAATTAAATGTGACAACTATAAACACGAGATTCAGGTGATTATCTCCCCACCGTGTCTCTTATAGAAATTTTATTGCTTGGTTCTTTGCTCTTAGAGACCCAAGGTTACATTTCTAGAATTTATTTTTACTATTAAAAAACTTAATAAAATGTGTTACGTGTTGATGTTTCTATATGTATTAATGTGAAAAATACAAAGAAAACGATTCCCGGTATACTGTGCAAACAGAAAAATGCGCAAATACAAAGTAATTATGCTAATACACTTAAAAATGCTAATCACATTTCGTTAAAAAAATGTTTTATTATGCTACAGTGTGCATGTTGTCATTCTTTGTCAGTGTCTACAAACGCTCAATTTAAGAAAACAAAAATGCCCTTGCGCACTTTTGTGTGCGCAGTTTTCCGTTGCGCAGTTTTCCGATGCAGATCTTTCCAGTCACCAACAAAAACATCCTGTAGTTTACTTACTTGTACGTTTTCTAGTTAGACTGCTATACCACACACATTCTCAATATAACATCGTTACTCACACAGACTACACATTAAATGTGTAGACAGTTTAGAAAATCAACGTTAGCTGAATATACAGTGTGGTCATTTATATTTGGTAGCAGCTGGGTATAGGATTACAGCTTTAAAATTTGAGTTTAATGAAGTTGATTCAACAGGTTAAACTAAAATATAAGATTGACTTGAAAACGTGTTGTTAAAGTTAGGTGATAGGTTTATTATTTCAGGATGTAAGTAGTTTTTGATCAGGTTTTGAGCAGGGTTTGAAGCAGGTTTTGTTCAAGTTGTAAGCAGGTTTTGTTGAGGTTGTAAGTAGGTTTTGGTGAAGTTGTAAGTAGGTTTTGGTCAGGTTGTAAGTAGGTTTTTGTGAAATTGTAAGTAGGTTTTAAAGAGGTAGTAAGAAGGTTTGGTCAGGTTTTAAGCAGATTTTGGTCAGGTTGTAATTAGGTTTTGGTGAAAATTTAAGGTTTTGGTGAGATTGGTAGCAGATGTGGTGAGGTTGTGAGTAGGTTTTGGTCAGGTTGTGAGTAGGTTTTGGTCAGGTTGTGAGTAGGTTTTGGTCAGATTGTAGGTAGGTATTGGTTAGGTTGTATGTAGGTTTTGGCGATGTTGTGAGTAGGTTTTGGTCAGGTTGTAAGTAGGTTTTGGCGAGGTTGTGAGTAGGTTTTGGTCAGGTTGTAAGTAGGTTTTGGCGAGGTTGTGAGTAGGTTTTGGTCAGGTTGTATGTAGGTATTGGTTAGGTTGTATCAGGTTTTGGCGAGGATATAAGCAGGTTATGATGAAGCTGTAATCAGGACTGCGTACGTTCAATACTGAAATCGATAAATCTCTCGAGTGATCTGTGACAAGGGTATGAGGTCAACACTGAGATCGATAACAGTCTTGTAAGTGGTTAGATACTTCAGGTAAAGACACAACGCGATCAAACAGTTTCCAGATAGCATTGTTATTTCTTTGTATGATGGACGCTAACATCACATCTCGTGTCTAGGGGTATCCGTGGAGTGTGATTGAGGTGTTGGTGGGGTATACGTATAGTGTGAGGAGAGTGTGAGGGGTGTGTGGTATATATATATATATATATATATATATATATATATATATATATATATATATATATATATATATATATATATATATATAAAATTACAGGGAATGGGGGACACTGTTAAAAGTATAGATTTTTCTATATTTGCAAAAATAATCATTAACCATCACGGCAATATATATTTTATTTTCGCAGAAAAATTCTTACTCATACACAAATATAAACACAATTCAATTCAAATCAATACCTAATATATTACACACTATCCATTCCTTGAGACATATGAACACACCAACATGTACACCATTACATCCTTAACAACACACACAAACCCAATATACGAACATGATCGCTTCAACACTCATAAATAAACAACGTTTAAAGAATTCAAAACCTATAAACAGTACACAATGTTCTTAGAAAAGCAAAATCATAATTATTGGTAGACTATATTAGACTATAACATATCACACTTGATCATACATTTACCGACTACATCATGCATCATCAAACTTCATCATGCAAATCCATTATTCATAATAAAAATGTATACTAATTAATACAATATTTATACTTAATCATGCAACTTCATACTTCATCATTCAACTTCATACACATTCGTCATACTACATCAGACAGCATAATATAAGCCCAGGCTACATCATGCATCTTCATCATACAAATTTTATCATACAACATCAGATTGCATTAATTTTACCTACATAATTGTATTAAGCAATGATATTTACATAAACTCTCTCGACTAATTGAATAAATTAACCCCATATATCCTACACTAAATTAACCACATATCCCCGGAATAAATAAATTATAAATTAAATAAATAACCCCATATATATATATATATATATATATATATATATATATATATATATATATATATATATATATACGAACTAAATAAATAAATTAACCCTATATCTCCTATCTCCTGTACTAAATTAACCCCATATCTTCCGACTAAATAAATACATTGACCCCATATCTCCTGCACTAAATTAACCCCATATATCCCGTCTAATTTAATAAATTAACCCCATATCTCCTGTACTAAATTAACCCCATATACATCCCGACTAAATGAATAAATTAACCCTATATCTCCTGCACTAAATTAACCCCTCATGTCCTGTAAAATGTTACTACAACTGTAACAAAAGAAATAGTTCCAAGTATGGTTGACCTTAAAAACCCTCACCATCGCACCAAGGATACAATGCTCATCAATAGATATTAAATATGCCAAGTATATTTACTTAAACACCTCAAAACATTTTCAAAATAGAATTTTAATAAACACCTTACAAATATTTCGCCTTGACTATTTTCTTTAATGATTTGATTGATTTATTGATCGAGTTAATCGTTGAGGGAAAAAATCGATTCTTTAGCAGATCTGAACAAATTAAATTTTTTAAACACAAGACTTGTGACGTCGTGTGATGATCAGTCTTGTCAGGGAACAGAAACACAAAAAGCAAGGACGAAAGAGGGTTGGATGAAACCCAACTAGGATCAACATATGAATCAACTTATGAATCAACAGATGAATAGACCGATGAATGAACAGGTGAATCAACAGATAAATCAATTAGATAAATCGACCTACTCTATGAGTCAACCTGGAAAACACATGTGAATCAACCTTTCATAGAAATCAACTTGGATAACACTAGCAGTGTTTCTTCCATGCATCTCTTCGAGGGGGGGGGGATTTATATAGAAAACATATATTTTTCACAGTATGACCCCCTATCCCCCAAACAAAATCAAGTCCGTAGTCGTCCCCCCACCCCACCCCGGAGAAAAACGCCTGGACGAAACACAGGACATGAGACTTTCAGATTAGCAGTCGTAAGCTCTATACCACCCATAACTGCTACTAAAACTTTTTTTTAAAAGAAGTTAATCCAATACATGTTTAAACAATTACAAAGTAAAATTAATTCCCCTTAGGTTTTCTAAAATCACCTTTATAGTACCCTGTTATCTTTATTTTAAACTTTTTAAATTGCGTGTATTCATGTAATTATTCCGGATTCTCTTGATCTTCGGTCCACTTTATCGGATCTTTGTCCTAATTTAATAGATAACTTAATTTACACTTTTGTCTTGTCCAAGACAGAATAAATGATGGTTGGCACTATTAAACCGTCTTCTCTCTCTCTCTCTATCTTTATATATATATATATATATATATATATATATATATATATATATATATATATATATATATATATATATATATATATATCCCTCTTTTTTCCCTTCTCCTATACGTCTCCCTTCCTCTTTGTCCCCATGTCTCCCCCATCTCTCCCCCCCCCATCTCTCTCGCCCTCCCCTCCTCACCTACCCTCGCTCATCTCTCCCCCCATCCATGCCCACCACCCATGCGTTTCGCATAGATTCATATTTCGGCTCGTTACCAACAAACGTGGCGTTTAAAAAAAAATTATTCACTGTGACGGCAAGCCATATACAACGTTTAAAACGGCATGTGGTCAGGACTGGGCAAACGGCAGGGCTTTATGTCGTCTGCTGAGCTACAATGGTGTGTGTGTGTGAGTTTGTGAGTGTGTGAACATGTGAGTGCGTGAGTATGTGAGTGTGTGAGTGTGTGAGTGTGTGAGTGTGTGAGTGTGTGTGTGAGTGTGTGAGTGTGTGTGTGTGAGTGTGTGAGTGTGTGAGAGTGAGTATGTGAGTGTGTGAGTGTGAGTTTGTGTGTGTGAGTGTGTGAGTGTGTGTGTGCGCGTGTGTGTGTATTTTTGTGTGAGTGTGTGAGTATGAGTGTGTGTGTGAGTGTGTGAGTGTGTGTGTGTGTGTGATTGTGTGAGTGTGTGAGTGTGAGTTTATGTGTGAGTGTGTGAGTGTGTGTGTGCATGTGTGTGTATTTGTGTGTGTGTGAGTGTGTGAGTATGAGTGTGTGTGTGTGTGTGAGTGTGTGAGATTGTGTGTGTGAGTGTGTGAGTGTGTGTGTGTGTGTGAGTGTGTGTGTGATTGTGGGAGTGTGTGTGTGTGTTGGGGATGGGGGGTAAACAAAGAAATTACTTTAAATATTAAAAATATCAAACCTTTTACGCAATCACAAGTTTACACTGCAAAAAAACATGCATAATTTTTAAAACTCATTGTTAAAATTTTAAAATAATTTTTTAAGTAATGCAAAGAAATTACAAATTTCTATCCAATGTTTGAGTATGGCAAACAATTTAAATTATAGACGCCGCATAAATATTACTCGTGAAATTTTATTTAAATTTTATGCTCGCTATTTAATTATAAAATACGAACATTGTTTTCAGGAAATTATTTAACATGAAAGCTATAATTTAGGTTAGGATAATAAAAACGCAACTACTCCAGTACTGAAGCTAAGCTTTGTTGTAGTGATATTGATTATTGCTCAATATCTGAACTGTCAGTTTGATGTAAACACGTAAATGGGGTGAGGGTGTTTAAGAATCAATTGGACAGTCAATTCTGTACAAGGTGTTCAGTTGTAGGTTGGGATTAATGGGGATGTGTACCGAGGTGTTGGGGTCGTTGTGTAGGGGTCGTTGTGTAGGGGTTGTTGTTTAGGGGTCGTCATGTAGGGTTTGTGGTGTAGGGGTCGTTGTGTAGGGGTCGTTGTGTAAGGGTCGTTGTGTAAGGGTCGTTGTGTAGGGATCGTTGTGTAAGGGTCGTTGTGTAGGGGTCGCTGTGTAAGGGTCGTTGTGTAGGGGTCATTGTGTAGGGGACCTTGCGTAGGGATCCTTGTGTAGGGGTCTTGTTTAGGGGTCGTGGTATAGGGGTTTTGATGTAAGAGTAGGTTTTGTGATGTCGGGGTTGTGCTTTAGGGTTCAACATGTAGGGCCTCTGGTGCTCTAGCACATCCAACCCTATCTAAAATTTAAAACCCTAACAGCCACACACATCCAACCTCAGCAACCCCCCCCCCACACACACACTGGCAACCCCACACATTCTTACATATC